AACACTCGGCAAGAAACGTATATGCTTCTGACCTTTTCAATGTATTGCTGTCTCAGATTTTAGATTATCAAACTAGTGGTGAAATATTGTATATATGTGGCGATTACAATAGTCGGTATGGTGAGCTGGATGATTACTTTAACGGTGTTGATAAACTACCAGGCAGAAGTATGATAGACTTTAACTGTAATTCCGGTTTTCTTGAGTTTTAGTTGATGCTGATTACTGTATCCTTAAAGGTGGAAATTGTATACAAAACGATTTTACATGTGTATCATCAAAGGGTCTATTTGTGGTGGATTATTGTATTGTCCCCAATGAATCACTGCCAAAAATGAGTAACTTTGAAGTACAACGCTCTTATGCAGTGTGGATAGGCATTTGGTCACCGAGTTTGACCACCCCTTGTTACAGTGGATCTGTGTTATTGATGTTGTTGTAGACACACATGTACAGTCTGTAGGAGTCGACCCTGTTAAAATTACGAAATATACTGATGTACAAAAGAAAGTACACACCTGGTGTTTTGAGACTATTAAAACAACGTAAATATTTTGCTAGCAATAATCCAACTGGGTACGATGGCGTCTTCCCGGAATGCCGGCACCTTTTGTTTTAGGTAGGCAAAGCAATGAAGAATGCTAATTGGAAGACAATGGGGGGATTATGGGAGGGCATCTCCTAACCAACCATGTGGAAGGCTGGCTCTCCAGCTTCCGATATCTATGGTGTTATTGCAACACGTACACAATGTTTGTGACATGTGAGTCGCAATCAAAACACTTTTCTAAATATTACGCTGTTTTCAAGAAAACATTTTACCACAGCATCAGGTGTGTACTTTCTTTTGTACGTCAGTTTACCTTACATCATATATTCCCGGTGATTTCATGTGTGTAACTATGGAGGACGGTTCGGTGTGTGACGTCATTGATGACGTGCTGGAGAAATGGAAACACGACTATAGTGTACTTTTCAATGGTGACACCTGTGAAGACAATGTAACTAAGGACAGTATACTGATAGATGGAGGTAACCATGAGTTGTTTCATGACATAATCGGTATGCTTGAGGTGAGAACTGCTATCTATAACGCTAACAAGGGCAAAGCGCCAGGCTATGACAATATCCCTATGGAAGTGTTAAAATCTGAGAATATCGCTACTGCACTACATAAGGTTTTAATTGTTTGTTTTACTTGTGGAAAAGTACCAAATATTTGGTCTAAGGGGATCATCAACCCGATACCGAAGAATACACAATGGACCCTAATGGACCCTACGGGTCCATTATCATACAGAGTGGTTACTGTCACAACTTCAATATATAAGCTCTGCTGTGGTGTATTGAATAACAGCCTGCAGTTATGTACAGAATCAAATAATATGCTCAGTAATTCTCAAAATGGCCTCCGCAAGAAACGATCAACTGTAGACTATGTACACACACTCACGTTTGTTATAGAACCTCGTAAAACCAGCAAAAAGCCAACGTTTGTGGCGTCCATTGACTTCAAAAAGCATATGATTGTATCAATAGAGATATTCTCTGGGACAAGGTTGCAGCTGTCGGTGTAGGTGGAAATATGTTAAGTGCCTTACAACCATTGTGCAAGGACGTTCGATGCTGTGTGAGACTACATGGGTATCTAATGCCTTGGTTTGGGGGTGAATCGAGGATTGAAACAAGGTTGCTTACTCCCCCTCGTGCTTTTTAACTTGTTTATCAAAAACTTCAATCTTTATTCTTTCATACCGAAAAGCCACAGACCTGTAGTACATTAATTAGTCATGTGTGGGTAGTAGAACATTCTTTCTGAGAATAAAAGCTTTGTGAATATCTATGGACAATCTTTCTAAATGTGTTTTAATCGAATTATTCATCAATGATATAAACTTATGAGTTTCAGGATGTACATAATAATATTTATTTATATATCTATTTCTTAACGATAAACATGCTGGGCAAACACGTAAAGTGAAATTAATCTTCGATCTCGTTTAAGTTGCACATTTGACAGACTCTATTTTCTTTCTTAATTCCTTGGTATCTCCCAGTTTCAACGTTTAAATCATGTGCAGAGCAGCGGAATCTCGCCAGTGAAGATTTTTATTTCCTTATGGTCAAATCTGAAAGATACTGTTCTGTATATATAAAATCTTTTATCATTTTGTAGTAAAATCATTTATTAGATAATAAGAGACTAGTTGACCAATTTTAAAGGAATATATCTTCAAGTCTTTGTTTAACTAAGCAGACAAAATGAGAATGAGATTCTACAATTTGTTCATGCCAGGCATCGCCGAAGCCAAAAGAGAAAAGCACGTGTTTTATATTTGTTACCGTTTTCCATGGCTATCATATAGCATCATCATATCATAACATTTTCTTGGCAATCTGTGTGAGGGCATTGTTAATAATTTTAACCAGTATCTAATATTTTTTACATTTGATTCTACGTACAATGGATATCATCCACATTCTCCGTCAACTATACAAGTTGACGTGGCTGTTTTCACGCCCAGAAGTTTCCTGCATGCATACAAATGGACTGTTTCTATAACATCATAAGTTTTAAAACCCCATACTTCTGCACCGTATAGCAAAATTGGATATATTTTGGCGTCAAATGTTTTGAAAAAAGAGTTGTAAGACAAGTAGCCTAAAATATGTATATATTGTGTTATACCTATTAATATTTTCTTTGCTTGTAAAGATGTCTGTGATGTGTGTACTGCCCATGAAAGAGGATTGGTAAAATGCACACCATTGTATAAATTGTAGAAGTTGTCAGTGGTTATACCTGCCTTGGGCTTCTTTAAACGGAAAAGTTAGATTTTAAGGCAATGACAGGTGCAGCGGCCAAATATGCTAACAGGGCACTCGGGTTGCTTATATCAAGGTTTCAGTTATTGGGTGGCATGCACTATTATACATATACATATCCTCTAGCATTGCCTTTGGCGACATGCCCTGTTTAGTCCGAATCTAATCACCTAATCGTCTACCGTTTTCCAATGTTTCTGCAGTTTCTCTCTCACATGTGTCCAATTCTCTGGTTGAATTCTAAAACGCAAATGTAGGAAACGAAAGCAATATCCACGAGGCCACATACTTTTCGATTAACCCTTATAAGTGCACATGGATAGGGTTCAGTTTTAAGCATCTTCATAAATCGTGGTGAGCTGTAACCAATACGATATAAACAAACAACAGTTTTCACGCGTGAATAATAATTGTCTCCAAAAGAAATTATAGAGTTTAAATCGTCGTAATTTCTTCTTTGGATGCAAAATCGCATTTCATAGAGGTTACACGCTAAGCACTAACACACAGTTTTTTCTATTAATTTTGAAAGACCCTGCAAGAAAACAAGCCCACCATGAACGTGGAAATCATGGCTAACACTGGTAGTCATGCCCGAACTGATCACAACAATCCAGCGTCTGTTGAGTACCACTACATTGACGACATCCCCGACTCAGCCTATCAACAGGCGATGGAAGAAAACCAATCGGAAGCCGGAAATGATTATGAATGCATTGCTGAAACCAATCCTGGTTATGATTACATTGAACCAATAAACGATCCACGTACGGTAAGAGTTGAAGTTCTGTTTTTAGGTCAATAGGTCTCAACATTACTCTTGATACATAGCAATATCATGAATACCAAAATACGAAAAACTTTACCGGTAGTTCTTTTGTTTTTGTTTTAAAACATATTTAATTAATGAGAAAATGACTGGGTACAAGTTGTACAACTTAGAACACCCTTTCCGTAGTATTTACATAAATACTATTTACATTCTTTATACAAGGTGGACAGAAAAGAACAGAAAGATGGGAAACAATGGAACAGCTGAAATAATTAAAAGAATCTTTTTGATTGACAAATATATGTTTGAACAATTGTAAATATGTTTTGATTTATGCGAAGTCAGATCTGCATTGTCATATAATAGTAACTCATAATTTATATTCATATTGGTAACACTGCGTAGATTAAACATCATGTTCTCTGTCCAGTATATAATTGACACTCAAATAGGTAATGATAAGAATTTTCACAAACTTTTCCAACAGAACAACTCGTGTTATCTTTTATACCAACACGTGATAGAGCAATTGGCTACCCATGTAACGTAATTTTGTAAGGATGATATTTGCGTTTCTCGGTCCAAAATCAAAGTATTGAGGAGCAGGTTTATGTTTTATAACAATATTAGATTTGAAACTACTACGCAATGAACTTCACATTGTTTTTAAACAACTACTACTTGTGATCGTGACCAATGGCCACAATCGCTATTTTGGGCTGCAATGCTAACGGGTTCTCTTTGAACTGTCGTAAAAGCCGTTTCATTCTAAAGTTCACTTCCTTAACCAAAATTAACATAACTCATGACCAAAATATTATGCATAACGAAAAATTAAACTCATTTTCATGATACCAATTTCAGTTATAAAATTGAAATGCAACTGAATCCTAGCGTCCTGATTACCTCGATGACATCGTAAAAATATAAACTGTTTTTTTCTTGTTTCAGTTTTCGGAAAGGAAGTGTAAGAGGGGTATTGTTTTTCTCGTACCCATATTTGCTGGCGTAGTAGTAATCTTCATGGCTGGGTTCTTCTTTACGACCTTTCTGATGCAGCTCAGTAGAGATGGATGGATGGTATTCATAGTGGTTAACCCGCTGGCAGGTATAATGTGTTGGAGATATGTGATTATAGTTTGTGCTTCTTTTTCAATAATTATTATTCATCAATAGATCAGCGAGCGAAATAGACATGGGAAAGCGAGCCACCGCTTTAAACACTGAAGCCAGAACTGGAATGATCCATCTAAGCTTAATGCACCATGGCCATCAACGTCATTTCTGTCTGTTGTGCCAGTAATTGTCAAGGAAACAAGTGTTTCCAGATAGAAACTAAATATTTCATATTTCGCATTCAGTCACGCGGAGGAACCTGTCTCTAGTATGTTGTGTATTTCAGCTGCCTTCTGTGCCCCGCTTATGATCAGATACGACTTCCGCAAGGTCGCTTTCGGCGGAAGTGTTCTACTCTTCTTTTCCTGTATCTCGTCGTCATTGACAACCAGAGATTACATTAAGACAGTCACCACATTCATCATCATGAAAAGTCTGTTTTTTAATCGATTTTCAAGTGAAACTTTCTATCTATTGTGGGCGTAATAATAGGCATATTGAAGGTCTTCTGAATCTAATGCAAATGAGTGTTGTCAAAGGAGTAGTATTTGGAAATGATGACGCAGCTTAGTACACATTTGTGTTGTGTATGTAAAAAGGATAGTTGTATGACTCGATCACTTAATATGAAGTTTTCTATCCCTAAGATCGTTCCTTTTCATCATACTACCAGTGTAGATCCGGATCTTCAGTAACCCATGCTTGTCGTAAGAGGCGACTAACGGGATCGAATGGTCAAGGTCGCTGACTTTGGTTGCCACATGTCATTGTATCCCAAATGCGTGGAACGATGCTCATGCTGATGATCACTGGATTGTCTGGTTCAGACTCGATTATATACATACCGTCGCCATATAGCAGGAATATTGCTGAGTGCGGCGTTAAACAACAAACCAACAACCAACCTCTTCATCATACAGCTTCTAAATGCCACTAAAAGAAGTTGTACTCAACATGCATCCATCCACTTACATTCCTACCAGCCTCCTCCTACAAAAGCAGTTCATAATAAGGGTTATATATTGATATGAAGCTTCTGTATACTGTTGCTTGACCTTGATAAACGCCTTTCAACTTCGTTGCTAGGTATCTCTGCTGGTCTTCTTCGAGCTACTGGAGTCGTGGCTACAGTGGACTATCTCAACACTCGCCCAACTCTCGCAATTATCATCAGCTACTTTAGCTTCATCATCGGGAGTTTTAGTTCCCTATTCGTCTTCATTCGCTCAACAAAATGGCTTGAGATAAGTGCTTTATTGGGACTTGTGGCTGCTTTGTTTCTACAAAAGAACTCACAGACCCATGTGCAGAATGTGACCAAGCTCTTCAAACATCCACCGTTTTATGTCCTGGTATCGATAACAGTTGTCTGTTCTATGGGTAGGTATTTTTAAGGTTGTTAATTGAAGATGATACAAAACTTGAATCAATGTGCTGTGATGACCCAGCGGTCAGAGGAACCTTGAATCGATGTGAAGGACGATGTCTCTTATCTGCTAATGGTTTGAAATCACATTTTTAAACCTTCACGAAATGCCTGATCTTGACATGTCCCTTTGCAAATGTGATAATGGAAAAAAACTATGATTCATACAAGAAAATATTATTTGTAATTTTTTTAAAGAAGATGTTTGGTATCACTTTCCAATCTTTTACGAAAATAGTATGACCTCAATCTTACAAACGGGTGGGGTAGCCTCGTGGTTAAATCGTTCCCTCATCACGGGCGTTCAGTTTGTGAAGCCCATTCTGGCGTCCCCTGCCGTGATATTGCCAAAAAAGGGCGTAAAAACATACTCACTCACTCATAGACACATGATTATGATATAACCGGAATCGTACAATAGGCTCAGAAGCAATCACTTTCAATGTCGTATTGGCCAATACTTGTGTTGGTCTTATTTTTTACAGTTGTGCTGTAAATGTACGTGTTATTCTATGCCAGATTATAAGACTCATGGATGCATTTATGTCTGACAGGGATGGCAAGCATTGTAAATCCAGTCGTCATCGTATGGTTTGATAGAAGGTGGACGATCATTGCGGTGTGCGGCTTCTTCGTTATCCAGATGATCGTGCTGGTTGTTCTGTTGGTCATCCGAAACTTCCTGACAGTGTGTCTGAAAAGGTCAGCTCTTTTATCCATGGGGCTATCGGCCGTAGGTGTTGGCGTCGTTATAATTGCCCACAAGGCGACTCATCCTGTTTCTTGGGGTGTCGGGATTGGATTTGCCTTTGGTGAGTAAACTAATGAATCTACTCTATGCACTCCGCAGTACTCCATAGTTCTGGAGACTGACTATTTAATCATCTTAGAGAGGGAGGGTGCTTGCAATATATATTATGCCTCAGACTTTTGAAAATCAATTAAATTCTCTGGCCCATTTACGGTCAATCCTTTAAATAAAACATGAAAAATAATAATATTACACTAAAATGTGGTGTACGTCGCCGTAATTCGTTTTGAGAAGTTGCGAAAAGGCTGGATGCGTCAACTCACTAGTTCTAGGTTTGTCAACTCTAAACCCTCGGGGGAAGAATTCACCTGGATGATAAACTTCGAAGACCTGCATCCCTTCTTCCTTTCCTTCCACAATGAGCAGATGATCATGATGTTAATCACCGGATTGTCTGGTCCAGACCCTATTATTTTCAGACCGCCGCCATACACCTTGAAAATTGCTGAGTTTGGAGTTAAACAACACACAGACGCAGGCACCCACGCACCCACCCATGCACGCACGCACGCACATATTCACACACTCACACTGAAGTTCCAGATCTGCGCTGGCAATGTTCTGCAGTTATCTGTTTTGTCCGAAAGAGACAACTGAATGCTTAAAGACTTGAATTCTTGTTCCAGTGCTCTCCCAAGTAATGTTGCCAATAGCGTTGATCAGCACTACTGAAAGAAACAGCCTGAAACTGGCCCTCCCACTCTTGAGCTGCTTTCATTTGACGGGATTAGTTGGCGGTGTCATTATTGGTGGTTAGCGTCCTGTGTTTCTATAGTTTGATGGAAGTTTTGTTTGTGTTTTTATTTAACGCCGCACTCAGCAATATTCCAGCTATATGGCGTTTGTCTGTGAATATTTTAGTCTGGACCAATCCAGGGATCAACAGCATGAACGCAATTAGGATATGATGACAGATGTTAACCAAGTCAGCGAGTTTGACCACCCGATCCCGTTAGTCGCCTCTTGCGACGAGCATGAGTCACTGAAGACCAATTCTAACACGAATCTTCACGGGTCTCCAGCCATTTGATGTCGGTCTGTAAAAAATCGAGGCTAAACCTGACCATCCTATCCCTGACATCATGAGCATCAATCCAAGCATCAACCACATCTTAGTCGCCTCTTAGGATACTCATAGGTTGCTGAATGTCAATTCTATCCCGGTCTTCAGGGGTCAGTAGACCTGTAAAGCAGGGGTCCTTGTCAAACTGACAAGATGAACATGAATGCATGTTGTTCACTGGTCCCTCGGGACCTTGGGCTGATGTACCCTTGATGTTTGTAAACTTATGTTCCCTGAGCCCTGATGTACCCTCGATGTTTGGTTATGTTCCCTGAGCCCGAAGGGCGAGGGGGACATAAAGAAACATAGAGGGTATATCAACCCATGGGACCAGTAAACAACGTATTTATCATACCGAACACCGCAATGTTAATTTTGAAATGTTTGCAGCACGGGTATCAAATCATAGTATGGAGTACCAGACGACAAGACAAGAAAAAACAATTTAGAGTTATCTCCCTTCCATAGATATGCATTCGCAAAATATCGGTAATTTCCGTACATCATACGTGATTCAATGTTATTCGAGATAAAGAATTACTACTAAGAAGTACCAAATGAGTTCGGCATTCCCAGCGGGGTACATAGAAAATGTTACTCGCTTGTAAGCGGGGTACATTGAAAATAATAGAAGAGCGCTCAGCCAATCAGAAAACGACATTTATGTGTGAGGCATGATAATACTTAATGTTCGAAATATAACAATGTGTTTTGAACTGCATGACCTATACTGATACTTTTTATAGACCTTCCCAATAAATGTATCTCTTTAAGCAGAGACCATATAATAGATCTATCATATGGTCTCTGCTTTAAGGTTTTGAAAGTCAAACTTGATCAGGGTGAAAATCTACAGTTTTAAATGAATTTAGGATATTCAGCAATTGTAGTGAATAAAGGCTAACTGAAAGTTCTCAGAATCATGGTGTTTAATTCAGTGTCAATAATGTATTTGAAGGACTGCTATAAAAACTACCCATCAAAAGTTTAGACTCACTTAAAGCACTCACTGTATGTTATGTATATATATATGTGGTTACATCGACGATGAATTTCTCCACTAACTTGGGGGAACCAACTTATGCAGATGAATTGCACGAGGATCGTGCATCAAATTACTGAAAACCATGAGCAAATATCGTGCATGTGAACAGCTGCGTTTTGGTGTAAAGTATTGTTAAGAATTCACCAATTGTCACTGAGTTTCATCATTTATTGAACTCATGACGATAATCCTTTCAACTTAACGAATTTGTTTTATAATACATCAGTTCATGTGTAAACAGTACCTTTAAACAGTATGGAATATTTTGCAAAATCTAGTTTATAACAAGATATGTTTATGGATTAAACTTTTGTATAATTTCCCTCACGACGTTTCGAGGCCATTCCAGGTCCCTTCATTCCCTTCAGGATTTCCCGTGAGGGAAATCATAAAGAAGTTTAATCCATGAAAATATCTTGGACACCAATGTACAAATGCCACTGAAAGACATACATGTAGTTTATAACAGTTGACTGAAGTAAGTGGCTACATTTACACTAGTGAGTCTAAACTTTTGATGGGTAGTATATTAACACATCCTACTCCTTTAGTTTCCTAGCTTGATTATACTGCAGTTATTGAATCACTTGGACTTCCATTGGGTAAATAACCGCTTCATTTTGATAATTGTTTTAACTCCTAGTAATGTGATTTATCATGACGTACGCGCTTTCTCATTTCCCCTCATTCAAATATATTATAGGGATGAATTATAGCAACAGTTACTGTGTTATTGTCGCAATGTGTTTGACACATTTTTTTCTGTCGACTTTTCACACAGTATTTAAACGGTATGGCTAGTTTAACTTCAAACATATTTAGATACCTAACACAACATTCATTAGCGTAATTTCAAATGTACAGAGTCGTGCAAAAATTATTCGACACTTGACGTAATTTCTATAGACTTGCATGTTAATTTAGTGTAGCATAAATATTTTTTAATGAATTTAATTTTCGTAAGATCGAAGTCAAATTCCGCACAATTGTGAGGAATCATCTTATCTACAATCACATAATTTCTGTTTAATTTTCTGTTGCATATTTATCGAATGGCAACACTTAAATCAACATATGTACAGTGCTGTGCACGCCTTTAACATGGCGGCCTATGGGATTGTGCATTGTGGAACCATACGTAAGTTGATAAATGTGATGTCATTAGTTAATTAGTGGTCGGAAAATTGAGCTGAAATTATGTGTGCAGAGCAGAGATCATTTCAAATTTGTCTGTCAAATTTTACAAAGATCCATACTAAACTCACTTCATGAAAATTATTTATGCTATACGACTCTGTGCCTTAAGCATTTCCAGTTCGCAAAATCATGTTTTCGATATGTTGCAAATGGATCTAAAATATTAGTGAACACTAATGTTAGAATACGGTTCCATGTTTGAAGGATTTCTATACAGGATTTGGGGACTATTTTGGTTTTTGTTGTGGATCTGTTTTGCCACGTTAACATTTCTGAAATACACTTGTACTCACTGCGGCTCAATATTTATTTTCAAATCTCCCTCTTGCATAGTTTATGGACGTTGTGTGAGTGGCGCGTTACCGTCTCGGCAGGACATGCGAACACCTGATGTCACTAACAGATTTTCAGTGACACACTCATGTAATTTTCATCGCTAGTTTGTCTGTTACGTGCACTTGTATGCGTCTGTTTCGTCGGATAAGTTCTGGCGTTTACTTTTCATATCTGCCTGTTTAAAACCGAGAAAATATTCAGCGTATAATATAAATTCTAAAAGCGAGATTATCCAAAACAAAAAATGATACTTTAGCAATAATGTACACAATTGCAGATAGAACAATCATTTTGCACATGGACACGTGAAGGTCCGGGTTAGAACTGATCTTCCGTAACCCATGCATGTCGTAAGAGGCGACTAAAGGGATCGGGTGGTAAGGTTCGCTGACTTTGTTGACACATGTCATCGGTTCCCAATTGCGCAGATCGATGCTCATGCTGTTGATCACTGGATTGTCTGGTCCAGACTCGATTACTTACAGACCGCCGCCATACAGCTGGGATATTGCTGGGTGCGGCATAAAACTATACTCACTCACTCATTTTGAACGTGGAACTAAATATGGATTAGCATGGGTTACTAGTTATTATACATGTAAATCATCATGAAATAATAAACCGTAATAGTAAGTTGTAATACTCGGGTATACAATCAAGTGGCTCAAGAGAAGGGTACATAAATTCAAGCAAAATTATAACATGATTTATTTAACATGTTTTGTTTCGTACGTGTCAAAGTTTCTTTGAGATTCTTATTATCTTTATTAAGTTATTATCACAGATTATTATTTCATGCTGATATACATAATAGTCAGTAATCCATATGTTTTCCGTATTTAGTTTCATGTACAAAATTAATACATTCCATCGTTGACTAATATCGACTATAGATATTTATCTGTGCTCCCATCGGATTTTAGTTGTAACCATGGAGATTCCTTATAGTAACTGTCTCAGAAATGTTTTATCCTTACAACAGCATCTACCATTGCCATTTTAGGAAACATCCTTGAGGATACATCGTCAGGTACTGGAGCCATGTATTTCGGTGGAGTGTCTCTGATCGTTGGCGGAGTTGGAGCCATCATTGCATGGGTGTTGTTGATAAGACGCGGGGCCCCTTCCCAGTGATGAGCCTGCCGAAAACATCAACGATGAGGAGGGAGATGACGCTGGTGATGGTGAGAGAGAGGACCATGTCGAGGGCCATGTCGAGGACCAAGTCGAGGACCATGTCGATGTCGAGGCTGAGTTCTCTCGCAATTGATACATCCCTACATGACCAAACTGGTGCTGTAGAGGTAGATTATTACACAACAGAAACACCATAAATAAGTAACTTTACTATATCCGAGGAGGATTTCAAGTGTCTCCTCAAGACTATTTTGCATTGCCTATCACAAGCCTCTTAGGATTTTGTCTGTACATTTGTTCTTTGACTTTTTCTAATTTTGTCAAAGTGCCAGTGAGCATCTATTGATGGATACTAGGCGCCATATAAATCAATTATTATTATTATTATTATTACAGTTTGGTCACATATAATAAAAATTCAACGCAGGCGAAATTGTGAAAAATAACAATGCAGATCTATTATTCCTGGAGTTATTATTGCATTAGAATTTGTCTTTCAATACAAGTTTTTTCTGGGGCAGTTTTGAACTTTATGCCTGTTATAGAAATGATAAACATGTCTGCCAAACACTTTCTGAAGTAGGTTGAAATTAGAAAAACAGGAAGTATTTCGAAATTTTTGTTTTGCATTCATAACGAATATTTCAAAGGATAAGTGTGTTATCAAAGTCGATGTTATCTTGTAATGTAAACTAAACGGCAAAAGAAAGTATAGGTGGAGTTTGATGAGTGTTAACAAAACACAACAAATCAAATTGGCGAAGCGTGTGTATATCGTGAAAGAAGGGTTAATGATCATTATTAGGCCACAAAATGATTGGAATACAGGCAACACATAACATGTGGGCGCTAGTTGAACAATGGTAGGGTCCAACAACTCATTTTTCAGCGATGTCTTGAAGGCCACACATGATTGTCAATCATTGTCCAAGTTTACACAACAAACAGAACATGTCTCAATATCGTGTATGACCCCCACGTGCATCAATGTATGCCATGACGCGTCGTCTCATTGATGACGTCTGGCGTCTGATGACGGGTGGTGGGATTCTCTGCCACTCTTCTCTCAGGGCACGTTCCATCTCATCTCTCGTCACTGGGGGTTGTTGACGATTCCTTAACCGTTTGCCCAGATGGTCCCACAGATGCTCTATGGGGTTCATGTCGGGTGAACAGGCAGGCCAAGGGAGAACATCAACATTGTGGCGGTTGAGGAAGTCCTCTGTCAATCTTGCTGTGTGGGGTCTGGCATTGTCATGTTGAAACACAATCCCCTGTGGCTGGTTCCGCAAGAATGGCAGCACAACTGGGCGCAGAACTTGATCTCTGTACTGAACAGCATTCAGGTTCCCTTGCACAATGACCAGGTCAGTCTTCTGTTCCCCACAGATGTCTCCCCAGACCATAACACCTCCCCCTCCGAACAGATGGACCTCTCGGATGCATGGTGGAGCTAAACGTTCACCTCTTCGGCGATAAACTCGTTGTCTGCCGCCGTTCTGGAACAACTGGAAACTACTCTCGTCAGAAAACAGTACTCGGCGCCATTCCCGCACTTGCCAGATTCGAACTTGCCTCGCCCATTGTACCCTTCGGCGTCGATGTTGTGCTGTCAGGAACATTCCTTGGAAGGGACGGTAGGCTCTGATTCCTGCAGCACGAAGCCGTCGGAGTACTGTGCGTTGGCTGATGCGATGTCCCAGCGCTGTTGCAGCCGTCGCCGTCGCCGTCGCCGTGACGAACCTGTTGCGTAAGTGAATTGTTCGAATTCGGCGATTTCTGCGGTGTTGTGACACGTTGTCTTTCCGTTCTGGGTCTGTCTACAGTCCTTCCTGTCTGTCGGTAACGTTGCAGCAGCCTGGATACAGTTAAAGGCGTGCACCCGTACCTTCGTGCAATCTGGACATGTGTTGCCCCCATCTGGTGCATACCAATCGCCCTCTCTCGCTCCTCTCTTGTCAGTCTAGGCGTATCGATTGTGTGCTTTTGTCAACTGTGTTGTCAACCCATGGTTTCACCTTATTTATACGCCAATTCGGCACGTGCATCTCCCTCTGCAGCCTTTGAACGTGTTTTACCATTTTCTGGTGCAGCGTGGCACCACCGGTCATGATGTGTTTGGGAGATGCGATTTTGCATCCTTGTGCTTGGGGACAACTGTCTGAATGCATACTTTCAACCAGCTATCAACACTTTCACACTAAATTGACTTTTTCCGACCTATACTTTCTTTTGCAGCTTAGTTTAAATACCATCTTCAGTTTCTGAATAACACTATCAGCTTCCTGCCAAGGGGCGGTGGGGTAGCCTAGTGGTTAAAGCGTTCGCTCGTCACGTCGAAGACCCGGGTTCGATTCCCCATATGGGCACAATGTGTGAAGCCCATTTCTGGAATGCTATATACCTATATGATTTTAAAATAGGTCATTACTTTTTTTAGATGAAATGTAATTCAGACAAAATCTAAAACAATAATACAAGGGCGATAACTCCATGATTTACTTTATACATACAAATCACATTATGTGGTAATGATTCGGGCATTTGAATGCAATACACATGCCCAAATATTATAGATGCAAAGCACAGTATTACATAAACGTATATAGCAAATACATATTAGTAATTAATACCCGGTATTTGCCACTAGGGTATAGTGAACATCCGGGTTATAATCGGTCTTCAGCAACCACTGCTTGTCATAAGAGGCGACTAACGGGATCGGGTGGTCAGGAAAGCTGACGTTGTTGACACATGTCGTATCCAAGATAGATTCTAAAGATGCCTATCACTGGATTGTCTGGTCCAGACTCGATTATATGCCAACCGCAGCCACATAGCTGGAAATTGCTGCGTGCGGCGTTTAGAAGAACCAAACAAAACAAACAAACACTAGGGTACAGAAGTACGGCGCTGCCAAGTCATATGCTTAATCGAACCTCTTATCTGTATAGAGAATAAGCAACGTGAAAGTTATGGTAACTACAAATCGATATATCGATAATAATAATATAATTTACAAAACCATTACACTTCACCAGGCGACTGAAGAAAACAAATGAGAAGAAGATGATGGCTGCGAAGGCGTTGCTGAAATAATCCTGCAGGTGAATACACTGAATAAGTTCACAGTCTCGTTTTGTGAAATTAACCCTGCAGATGATTACCTTGAATCAATTCACAGTCTCGTATTGCTGAAATTAACCCTGCAGATGATTACATTGAATCAGTTCACAGCCACGTATTGCTGAAATTAACCCTGCAGATGATTACCTTGAATCAATTCACAGCCACGTATTGCTGAAATTAACCCTACAGATGATTACCTTGAATCAGTTCACAGCCACGTATTGCTGACATTAACCCTGCAGATGATTACATTGAAACAATTCACAGCCACATATTGCTGAAATTAACCCTGCATATGATTACATTGAATCAATTCACAGCCACGTATTGCTGAAATTAACCCTGCGGATGATTACATTGAATCAATTCACAGCCACGTATTGCTGAAATTAACCCTGCGGATGATTACCTTGAATCAATTCACACCCACGTATTGCTGAAATTAACCCTGCAGATGATTCATTGAATCAATTCACAGCCACGTATTGCTGAAATTAACCCTGCAGATGATTACATTGAATCAGTTCACTGCCACGTATTGCTGAAATTAACCCTGCGTATGGTTACATTTAATCAGTTCACAGCCACAATTTGGAACAGGCTCCCAAGGCCGAAAGCTATGATTACAATTCCATTTAGGAAGTAGTCAAATGCAACATATGTTATGTTTGGGATTACACTTTCTTTATAAAGTACAAATTCTAGCACTTTTTTGTGAAATTGGCGCTGGCTGAGCGGGTTAGGCGGCTGACATTGTGTGCTGGCGATTTGGTGCCTGACTCTGAGGGTGTGGGTTCGAATCCCGGACCCCAAAAGTCCTAGAATTTGTACTTTACTAAGAAAGTGTAATCCCAAATATAACATATATATGCTGCATCACAAAAGCTTATTTGTATATCCAAACGTATTATGAGTTCGTTGTGTTAAGGCAATACCGTCCAGTCCAAGATATTTATACATATTTCTGTACGCAGAATTGTATCCCATTTGATCTGCATAACTTCGCGTTTACTCCCACATGAGTGAGTGAGGGAGTTTAGTTTTACGGCGATTTTAGCAATATTCCAACAATATCAAGGCGGGGGACACCAGAAATAGGCTTCACACATTGTACCCATGTGGGGAATCGAACCCGGTTCCTCGGCGTGACGAGTGAACGCTTTAACCACTACCCCACCGCCCTCTTCCCACATAAAGCAGAGACGCTTTAGTATAGCTGCAATAGTCGGCACCGTAAGACCCACCTAATTCCTTTATTCAGTAAAGAAACCAGTGGATGTATCATAAGAAATATATCAAATCACGATTATGTAAAATCACTGACATTTTCAGGGAATATATGGAATGTTTGATTCACTCAGAGAACACAGATAATCCTTACACTTTTCAGGCATTATACATATTCATTTAACAACACATTTTCAGATACATTCCCTGAACCACTTCATTCGTTGTTTCTCTCTCCAGTAACAATATAACAATGTCAATAAGGTTTGTAAAAACATATGCACATGTTTGTGGCCTGGTTGATTGAACAGTTAACTAATGCTGTAATTACAACAATGTTTGCATAGGAACTGTCCATTTAATATCAATGAAATATCATCGCTCCTCATGCCAAATACCCAGGTTCGATTCCCCACATTGGTACAGTGTGTGAAGCCTATTTCTGGTGTTACCCAGTTGACTCCAACACTTTTTACATGTAAAAACAATAACACACGCCAACCACACAAAGGGTTTAACTAATATAATGTTTCCCAGACATTGACTCATATATGTCATCATTTGTCAAATCTCTTCTAAGTAATAACCTCATTAACATTGACACAGTAAGTGAGTTAAAAGTTTACATCGCATCGGCAATATTACAGCCATATAGAGATGAAAACAAGGTAATCAATTTTAAAATAGCTGTCGACAAAGGACAGTTAAACCATCTAGACTGTCACAGATATGTATTTAAAACTAGCAATTAAATCTAAAATACTTTTACTATAGAGGACGATACAATATTAACAAACAGGCTATAGATCGCCAACAACTGAAGGTAGATCACTATACTAGGGACCATGGGGACTTACAGTGCCTTTGCTACCTGCATGGACCCTAGTTGGATTTACGACATCCCTTCAGCTGCTGGCGATGGTATTGACACAGTAATGCCAAAGAGAATAATTCTTCTCACAATACTTCTAGTATTATGTCTAAAAATGTACTGACATTTTTTTTAAATACCTAAAGAGGTTAGGGATTAGGTATATCCCCTGACATAACTTATACATATTCCCTGTAACAGATGCACGTTGTTACCCTTTTCCTTAGTTGCAAAGTAATGATACTACGTACCATTCTATTCTATAATTTATACGTTTTCATACTTCTGGTGTTACATAACATTCAAAAGTTGGACCAATAAGTCAACTGGAAACCACCCTGTGAAAAAAACATGGTGTGAAACCAACAACAAACAAAGGGTAAAAATAACAATTGTATTTTAAAGGTACCAAAGTTTACCAATCAGTACAAAGGAATATAACAACACCGTAAAATAAAATGGCTATACACTGACAATAGCAGTACAATATAAAAGCAGTGATTAAAGTAATAGAGACCATTGAAAATAATCACCTTGCTGCGGTACTACTCAAACTTCCATAATAGGAGTTGGCTGAGAACCCAAGGTGAAAAGTGTTCTCACACAGAAGCTTGTCTTCTTGTGCTGTGAGATGTAATGCGAGATTGTCTCCCCTGATCATATGAAAACAGCTTCCAGAACTTTGTCTAATCCCTGGGTCAGAATATAATAGACTTTTCCCGAATATGCCTAAACATTTCCAGACCAATCTTGTTTTCCAGTCGGACTTACTGTATTCACCGGAATGTCGTCTTTTCAATGATAAAGGAATGAATATAATACAGATGCACATGTTCCATGAGGAATAACACTGCCACGTAACCTAATTATTTGATATTTTTATCAAACATTTGTATGAAAAAGGTTACATAAGGCTTTTTGGTTTTGGGTACAGCTGTATTTATAGCCATCATCCACCTCCACTTGCTATTGCTTTCTTCATCAGCTGCATCGGATACGTCATCGACATCACTGTCAGCTACAAAGTTGAATCCTTAAAGTCTGACAGCGATTGATCTGTTGTGTTGTAAGGTTTTCTCATACAACGAGAGAGTGAGTGAATGAGTGAGTTTAGTTTTACGCCGCACGTACGCATATTCTAGCCATGTGGCGACGGTGTGTAAATATTCAAGTCAGATCCAGACAATCCAGTGATCAACAACATGAGCATCGATCTACGCAATTGGGATACGATGACATGTATCAACCAAGTCAGTGAACCAGCCTACCCGATCCAGTTAGTCGCCTCTTATAACAAGCATGGGTCACTGAAGATCATTATTCTAACCCGGATCTTCACGAGTGCATACTACGAGAGACCATTAAATACAAGTTTGAGGAGTTCTTCACTCTATGTCATGTTCCTGATGAAAACGTCAGTCTATCTTGTTACGATTTACCGTACCTCATGGCAAACGCTGACTTCACATTATATTATATCTTTCCACTCATCACGCCAAAAGCCAGGGGTTTCATTCCTCACATTGGCACATGTGTGAAGCCCAGCTCTAATATTGCTGGAATAGTGCTAAAAGCGGTGTAATTATAAATTCACTCCCTCACTCACTTACTCACCCACTGAACACATATAGCCTAACCAAACATTTATGTCATTGACTGATACGAATATTTTATATATGAGTGAGTGAGTTGCGTTTTACGCCGCTTTTAGAAATATTCCAGCAATATCACGGTGGGAGACGACAGAAATGGGCTTCACACATTGTGCCCATGTGGGGGAATCGAACCAAGGCCCTCGGCCTGACTAGCGAATGCTTTAACAACTAGGCTACCCAAACGCCGGTTGTATAAATGAACCATATCAAATACAGTATACCCAATCAAGCACTTAAACGCCGGAACACAAAGTCAGTGTTCCTGTCACGGTGTGTGTTGTCCAAAGGTTCCACAACGTCACTTTGGAAGTACAGTACTGTGGTGTGAAAGCAAGCCTTTCTTACCTAAAGAACATGTCATATATGTAGAAGGTTTTACTGTTAAGTGAGATCGATTATAAATATACTCGTGGAAACAAATAAAGGAACACATGAAAGAACATGTGTTCCTTATGCTTTTCCGGCTTTTCACCCACAGTGCAATACAAAACATGGAAAACTGGAAAAATATGTTGGAACACGTTTGCTTTCGTGTGTTCTCTTATTTGTTTCCATGAGTATATGTACTTAACAAACTTATGAACACAACACAGTTATCCGTACACATTGAACAGCGAGCGGAGTTCGCTGGGCGAACACTTCACCAGTTTATGCTCGACCATACAGTGGAGGCCTTTTGACGTCCCCCTGACGTACGCGGCTACCCGCCCTACACCACTAAAAGTCAATACCAGAACGTCACACGACATCAACACATGCTGGTCTAGGATGACCTTCTTCCAGCCATCGCACCGAGATTTTCTATCAGTGTCCCGTTCAATATGAGACACTTTTCCTTCGCTTTCCATAATTTGGCTTGGAAATAACGTCCGGGCTTGTTGCATGACAGTTTCGGTGTCGGAAGTGACAAATATTGTGTATGTTGAAGGATCACTAAAATTTCGAAAGAATTGCCAAATCTTTTGAACATCTGCCATCGTAGCTCCCCTAGGGACTTTACTGTCATTTGGATTTGAAGGATTTCTAAAAAGTCGAATCTGTGTACAAACGAGCTTCGATGATTCCTTTGGTTTAGCTCTTGCTAGAAACCGGGATAGGGTTTCTTTCAAAGATGCGGATAAAGAGAATAGAGTCTTGTATGCTGTGGCAAAGACTTGGTCCCTTGTCTTATTTTCCATCCATGAGAATTCTTTCCGATGAACTCTGTTGGCCTTGGGGGCATCAACATAGTCCAAATTTGCAAGAAAATATGCAATGTCATGTTTCAACCAGGCGCTAAAATTCAGAGTTCTCGATTTGCTAATGAAGCTGACTTTGCCCATCTCATTGTACACACCTACTGACCTGCCATCTCGCGAGACTTCAAAGCGGGCTTCATCCCAGGGAACAGAGTTCGGTGTTAGGAATGACGTCAGGTTACACGGTAGAGATGTAATGGCGATACCAAACTTTCTCCGCATTGCCATGGAGATGTAGAATCCCATTAAAATGCCTTTTAGTCTATCGGACCATCCACCACAGACATTAGATTTAGCACACCTATATATAAGATACTTAGGGTATGACATATGGTGAGGGTTCATCTTGGATTGTCTCCCATCTAACATTGGGGTCAAGGTCAAGTCTCCATTTGAATCTTTAGATATTTTTACGCCAGTCTCAGATGGAACGTCTTCTCCGGAAGTGGTCAATCTGTGGCCAAGTGTGTTTGGGACTCTCTTTCCAGAAGGCCGTGAGTAAGTCTCCAAGTGGTTGACGGCGATAACAATAAAGGTAACTGAAACGGCGACCGTTAAGAACAGAACTGATGACTTGGATTTCTGAAACCATAAACATTGGAGAATACATCTTTTTGCAGTGATTGTGCCAATTCTGTCTAAAATCTGCTTGACTCGAGGAAGTACCGATCACCCATATTTAGCTGAAATATTGCTTACAATGGCATAAAATAACAATCAGAAGCATTTTGCTGATACAGTTAAAAACAGAACGTATTGGGAAGTATTTAGCTACATTTCTGCGAATCAGCTTCATTGGTGAGTAAAACACAAACTTAGTCATGCTTAGTATTATTTCATTGGGGGCGGTGAGGTAACCTGGAGGATGGAGTCGTCGCTCGTCACGGATCACGAGTCATAGATCAAGGATCACGGGTCACGGGTCACAGGCTCTATGTCACCAAGGGCTTAACACCAAATGCTTGGTGTCTTCCTAAGGTTAAATGTTACAGCAACTAAAACAGGCACGCAGAGATTTCGAATTATTCCAAAGGTACTACTTGTCGCGTATTCAAAACTAAACCTGTCTTTGAATGTTTTTTACATATGTCCCTTTCTCCTTGGCTCTTTAATTCCTCTTGATTAGAACTTCCTGCCATCGTTTACCGATTGAGTGAGTGAGTGAGTTTAGTTTTACGCCGCACTCAGCAATATTCCAGCTATATGGCGGCGGTCTGTAAATAATCGAGTCTGGACCAAACAATCCAGTGATCAACAGCATGAACATCGATCTGCGCAAATGGGAACCGATGACATGTGTCAACCAAGTCAGCGAGCATGACCACCCGATCCCGTTAGTCGCCTCTTACGACAATTTACCGATTGAAGTGAGTAGGTGACACAAACGTTTAACTGAAGAAACAATGTGTAAATTCTGTTGGCCATAAATTTCATTACATATTTCCTCTGCCCTTTCTTCAAAACATCATCGCAAAAGTTATATCCCAAACCATTATGAGTAAAACCCCAATGTGTTAAAATTTATTTTCCGGCGTGTTGGTCGAGTTATTGAATGGCATTAAGAAGTGATACGCATGAAGAAGAGATTGTATGGAAGACAACATCGCATCATAAGGAACATTTATGAATGCATGAATGCGCAGCTTCCTTATCTTCCTTTGCGTATAACCCACACTGCATATCTTGACCATGTAGAATACCAGTGCTTGTCACCGTCCATTAGATCATGTGGTTCATACTCATGCAGTTGGTCTATGAAATGGTGGACACTGTTTCAACAGTTGGGTGAGTTTTGTTTGTGTTTAGTACCTGATGCATTCCTTGGCTAGTTCCGCATCAACATGACCTTTTGGAGGGTGGGGGTATCATACTAATTGCTGTATAACAGCTGCTGAGAGATTCTAAAATGAAGGCATTTTTCCAGCATTGGCCTAGGACTAAGTTGCGTTGATCGATACCGATTGTGTCAATCATTGGATTGTTTGGTCCAGCCTCGATTAATACAGACCGCCTTCGTATAGCTGAAATATTGCTGAGTGCGGCATTAAACAAAAAACCCAATAAATCAACCCAATAATCCTGAAATTGTGGTCTTAAAGGAGTTTGATCATTTGATCAATGTGTACTTGTTATTTCAATCCTTTTCGGTTGGATGTGATATAGACAATATTAAAAGTCGTTCTTTTGTAAACTTTGAGTGATATATATAAACATGTCATGTAGTCATGCATGTTGTCAGAATGCAATCGCTGGGATGGTGGCACCTTACAGACTTATGATTTGTATTCATATTACAGCGTTCGCTCAAGTTATGATGCCTTTAGCATTAGTCCACACCACGGGAAGAAGCAATGTGAAGCTTTCCTTACCAATACTGGGCTGCTTTGAAGAGGTGGGAGGACTTGTAGGCGGTTCTAGCATGGGTATGTTGTACTGCTGGATCTGATGTTCGATAACGTTATGCCTTTGTAAAGGAAATGGAGTACAGGTATTGGTGTTGTAAGGTATTTTACCCGTGAATATCCGGGTAAGAATTGGTCTTCAGCAACCCATGCTTGTCGTAAGAGGCAACTAACTGGTTCGGGTGGTCATGCTTGCTGACTTGGTTGAGACATGTCATCGTATCGTAATTGCGTAGATCGACGCTCGAGCTGTTGATCACGGGATTGTCTGGTACAGAATCGATTATTTGCTGAGTGTGGAGTTAAACAACAAACACACAAACAAACTGTAAGGTATTTCGTTCTGATGACAAAATATTATGACCAACTGAAAACCGACTTTTAAATTCATTCTGTGATGCGTGTTCAGGCCCCAGGGTGGTCCGGGTTAGAATTTTAGCCTCCCGACAACATATATGTGTAGTAACGGGCTATTATCTAACAAACTGTTTAACTCACTTAAAAAACACTCCTGTTACAACCGGTGATATATACTCTTCAAAAAAGTAGGGGAACTTCATTTTTGATTAACGATTGAAAAAATTGGGATATATATCGATGCAAATCAATGTTGCATGTGTATGATTTTCATTTAACCCTCCCACCCCCACCCCCTCCCCAAAAAACAACAACAAAACCAAAAAACGGCTAGAAACAAACACTAACAACAGAACTATGTGATGCAAGATGATTGACAAAATTAATGGTCTACCATCAAAATCAAGAATGACACCCGATGCACGTGTATGGGGCTACTGCGTTGTGCACGTGCATCCCATGCGTTGTATTTAGAGGTGGTGGCAAAGAGATATGGTGGCGCGTTCATAAGATGTCTGTCTTTAAAAAGGTTGTTAACGCTTATACTTCCTATCCAAATTGAAAGTTCAGGTTCCCCTACTCTTTTAAGAGTATATATTTTGTAATAATACCGCGTTAAACAGTAAACGCACACATATTGATTTTCAGTTACCCATGATCGTACAGGCTTTTAATGAGGTAATACCGTATAATTTCATATCACTGTCATGTCCATCATGCATTGTTTCTTCTTGCCATTTTAGCTAAAATCTTACAAGAAACGTCGTCAGTAAATGGAGCCTTGTATTTTGCTGGCGTGTCCCTGATTATTGCCGGAGTTGAAGCCATCATTGCGTGGGTGTTGATAAAACGCTGGCCACCTCTCAGTGATGAACCTGTGGCCCAGGCCCAGGGCATCGCCGACGACACAGGCGACGAACTTGGCGACGGCCTCGGCAATGGAGACACTACTGGGGCCCAATAATCGTCTGTTGCATGCGTCGATTTAGATATACACTTAAAAAAAAGTAGGAGAACTTCATTTTAAATATACGATTGAACAAAATGGGAGATATATCGGAGTCAATCAATGTTGATATGATAGTAATGAATGTTTCGAGAGTGCATCACCACTTGCACTTCCTTCTGGCCATAGTTGTAGTTGTTTGTACAGTAATCGCATTTGAAAGATGATTGGTGTATGACGTGAAATTTGCATGTGTACTTTTTTCATTTTTAAAAAACAAAAACAAACAAAACACCCGGCTAGAAACAAACACTAACAACTGTGTGATGCAAGATGATTGTAAAAATTAATGGTCTACATTCATTTATCGACCATCTTGAAAACCGTCAAAGTCAAGAATGACACCCCATGCACGTGTATGAGGCTACTGCGTTGTGCACGTGCACCACAAGCGTTGTGTTTAGTTGGGTGATAAAGAGAAATGGTGGTGCGTTCATATGAAAAGTTTGTAAACGCTACTTCCTATCAAAATTGAAAGTTCAGGTTCCCCTACTTTTTAAGAGTCTGCTTGAATGTCTATGTCGGACATCTAGGATAAATTGCTGAATGCTTAATGAAGACAGTTACAAGAGATTGAGTGAGTGAGTGTGGTTTTACGCCGCTTTTAGCAATATTCCAGCAATATCACGGCGGGGGACACCAGAAATGGGCTTCACACATTGTACCCAGTTACAAGAGAAGTTACCATTGGGTAACTGCTATGATAAGGTATGATGATGTTGATGATAAATCTATGAATATGATAGTCATGCTAAAGGCAGTGAATGATATAAGCCAAAAGCCAAGCCAGACATCTGGGCTAGTAACTTCACAAACTGACCAGCCCAGGAGAGATTCAACCAGTCCTTCTTAAATACTAAATAGACAACGTCAGTGGACACGTTATCTGAATATTTCTTTTCACCCGTCCATTGGGCTGGCTAGCTATAAAATTAGACCGTCCCGCAGAAATCTAGCCCGTCTCGGGCGGTGGGGCGGGCCATATTTCATACACTGCTAAAGGTATGACGATTACAGTTATGATGATGGTGATGATAACGGCTATGATGATGGTGATAAATCATGATAGCGATGCTATAGATATGATGATCTTTACAGCTCTGATGATAGTGTTGATAACGGATATGATGATGATGATGATGATAGTGATGCGGGTGGTATGATGATGGTGTTGATGATTACGGCTGTGATGATAACGGCTATGGTGATGATGATGATAAATCTATGATAATGATAGTGATGATGATGGTATGATGATGGTGTTGATGATTACGGCTCTGATGATGAATGGTAGTGTATTTGGAGCTTATATATTTGCTATACACTGGTACACAGTCATGTACTTGCAAGAAGAAATATATGTTTTTCGTGGGAATTATTAGGATATAAAGGTTTTTTAGTTTAAAATTTCCTCAGGTTTTCACTTGATCCACGTGATCTTACGAATACAATATGACTACACTGCATTTCAAAGACAACGATCATCCTGAGAAGATCGATGCTGATGCTGTTGATCAGTGGATTGTCTGGTCCAGACTGCCGCCATATAGCTGGAATATTGCTGAGTGCGCCGTAAAACAAGAAACCAAACCTTGGATGGTTGACCATGCTCGACAGTTTTGGCCTCTGAGAGAGTTCAGTCTGTCTCGCACCGACGCACATACAATACCCTGAATAGAAACGCAAAGAATTTGTCTTTCTGCGAAAACACGTTTGGCTGGCTAAATACGACACCGACATTAACATACTATAAAATAATTTCCCAATAACGATGAAAGATTTGTATGAAGTAGCAAGTTAAATAAAAGCAACCCACA